CACCAATGACATCAATAATTTGGATGCCGCGTCAGCTCATTTTCATTTCTTTATTGTTGCATTAAAACACACTATTTTTTAGGATGCTTCTATTTATTTTTTGAAGAAGCAGAATGTAATTTTGTGAATTTTACATTTTATCTTTTAATAAAAATTATTTAGCATAATTCCACAAAACACATTAATAGTTTTTAATCAATTTTTGATATTTGATTACAACAACTAATTTCATCAACTTAATAAGTTGCTTTTACAAGCACTTTTAACTTTTTATAAGTTCTAACAACATCAATTTGACCATAAGATCAGGAACTTAAAAATAATCTCTTTTAGATCTTTTTCGCCAGCAATCTTTTGCTTCCAAAATGACACTACAATGAGAAAATCGCCAGTTCCTTTGTGAATAAAACAAATAGAAGTAGCATGAATGATAGCGCAATGTTAGCAACACATTATTTTATCATCCCTTCTCCTCATTAAGGATGTCAATGCTGAACTGTACATATGGATTAGATCCAACCCATTAATAACGGTTTCAGCTTGAGGTTAAACGAGTTCAAATCATACACAGATCGATCCAAAACTGCACATTTATTTAAATGGATAGGGGTGAGCAAATGATTAGTTTGGTCAGTTTTGACTATTAAAAACCAAAGTGAGCCGATCTAGATTCAAAATCGAACAAACTGAATCAAATTGCTTCAGTGCGGTTTAGTTTGATTTGTTCAATTTCAGCATCGACATGTCAAGTTAGAGAATATTTAGCTAAAATACAACACTCTTGCCCACATTGGTTTTTTTCATAGTATGAGTACTATTTTAAAAATTTTTGGACCCACCTTTTTTACCACATGTTTGTTTTTTATTTGGTCCGAATTAGTTTTAAGGAGGGACAAAATAATAACCAAGAAGGGGACTAAATGAAACCGACCACCCCCACCTTACAATTCGAGTATTAATATCCAATTTTCATAAAAATGTTTGTAAAACCCCCCAAAAAAAAGTTTTTACATGGAATGATGATTCCCCAATAAAATGGGAAATGAACCAAACATCCTCTAAACATGTGATAGTGAATTCGCCACAACTTGCACATACTTATTCTGACATGGGGAGGGTTTAGAATACGAGGAGGCTTCCTTGTAAGAGTCAAAAATTTTTTGAATACCATTTGCCCTTAATTTTAACGGATTAGAATTTTAGGATAATATCATTGAAGGCAACATTGCCCTTAATGACAAATTAACGACAAAGATTTAACTGATGTTAAAAAATTCTAAGAGTGGACCAATGTCAAAAAATTACTTAAACAATTATTCCAGCTTGACTTAAAGTTACTCATTGATCATCGAGAGAAATTCCAAACACAATGCAAAAGCGTTTATAATGCACACATAATGCTTGATTTGATAGGAGGGGAGGTAGAATAGGGAGCTAACTAGCTAAGAGCTTTTAGAGGATAATGTGAAGAAGAATATACTGGGATGAGGAGAAAAAAAATACAAAATGAAAATAGGAAGTAAAGAAAGAGAAAATCATTTCAATTTGGAGGAACAGAAGAAAAAGAAAAGAGAATATATAAAATAAATTAAAAAGCCATTTACCTCTCCTTACTCCCTATCCAAACAAATAAAAAAGCACAAAAAATGTATAGCAACTCATTTAACTTCAAATTAACGTACCTCATCGTACCTCCGACGAGACCAGGTTCATGCGACATCATCTAGAAGCGTGTGACATCCCGTCATCATCAGCCGTCCAGCACTAAATGGACGGCTACAATTAACCTCCATTTCCAAACCTTCCCATTTGGCTAAATTGACTCACTGCAGCCCACTCTATAAAACAAAAGCGCACGCTCACGGATCCTACTTGCCACCGATCCGCCCCACACCTAACCGTTAGTCCGCCGCC